TCTATTTTTATAATTTTTTAAAGTACCACAACAGCGGTAAAAATATTATCAAATATAATAAAAATAACCACAAATGTTATAAACAAAGGTATAGTACCGAAATTTTATTTTTCGGTACCCCAGCTAAGTCTTCAAGTATATATTTTGTTTCATTTTAGTCCACCGTTCTTTTAATTATTAAATGGTCTTTCAATTAATGTGTTGCCCCATTGATCAAAAATAAATTTTATATCAATTGACTTTTGGTCCAGTGATACTCCTTCACTCGTAAAGACATTGCCTTATTGAGGTCAAGGGTTCAAATTTCTCTCCTTTTTGTCCTTCCCCTTCGAAACAAAAAAGTAATGTGTTGTTATTTTGTTCCAACGGAAAAAAGTGGTTCAAGTTGACTAACAAGTCGTTCAAGTGCCCCCTCATGTGACCACACTTGAGAGGGGTCACTTTGCTCCTTCAAGTTTAAATGTGTTATGTTACTCTAGTTTCTTGATTTTCAAATAATGCGCTTCAAGTGTGGGTATGTGACTATCTGTTAAACAATTACTTATTTCAAAAGTTTAAATTATTACAAAGAATATAATTTAAGTGTTTATATTTTAACACGCTACCTCATGTGCATGTTAGATTTTAGGCCAAACAAGTGAATATATTTTTAATAATTAAGGTGATGACGAGATTCGAATACATGACTTCTTACTTAAATACTATATTAAACAACTATCTACTCTAGAAACTTAAGCTATTATTGATTGCTACACAAATATGTGGTGAAACTTGATTTAGAGAGCCTATCGGCCTTGTTTGCTACCTTAACAATATGTTTGGTAAGAAAGGAAAATAAAAAAGATGAAATTTTCTTTCTAAATTACTAAAATCAATCATTCTAAAATTAGGAGGAAAAGTGAATGAAAAGTTAATTATATGTGTTAAAATGTATGTTATTTGTCTATACATATTTTGATATATATATATATATATCATATTTATCAATTACATATTATGTATATATTAATTTCATATATAGATATAATACTAAAATATGTATTTATATTTTTTCTATAAAAAAATTAAAAATTAAAACAAATATAAATATAAAAAAAATACTTTTTCCATCTTATGAAACACAAAAAAAATCAATCCTTTCTAATTTTTGTCCCTCTTGCCAAACAAAAGAAGGAAAAAAAAGATTCCTTTTTTGAAAGATGAAAATTATATCACACATACTTTTCGTCTTATTTAATTGTATCAAGTGTCCTGATAATAATCCGACCTACACACAGACCAGTACATCGGGAGAGAGAGAGACATCGGCACACTATTTGCCATAAATACAGACACATACAAACAAGGGAGAAACAGAGAGAGAGAGAGAGTACCTCGGCAATGGAGACCAGATTTGTACAGTTCCAAAATGGGGGACCAGTGATACGGAGGGGAAAGTGATAACCTTACCAAATTCTTTACGGGGGTGTTTATGTAAATAACATTCCTACCCTCTCAGTTGTATTGCATTCCCAAAGTTTTGGTGGGTTTAATTTAGGAAAAATTCGAATGGGATACAACAAATTATAGTTAATGGTCAAAAAGTACACAAAAAAAATGTAGGATAAATTTTTTTTTAATTTTGATACTTATTTGTTTCTAAGTACATTATTTGGAATTTTTATATTTTGTTCTGACCTTTATATCCCCTCTTGATTCATGCATATTTTTTTTTTGAAAGTGGTTTTGTTTTTAAATTATATTTAATGCACCTTGATTCATGTGTATTTTTTTTTTTTTGAAAAATGATTTTGTTTTCAAATTATATTAATATCCGAACTACAAAACAATATAATAATAATAGTGTAACAAGACAATTACACAAAATATTGTACTATTAGATTTTGTCAAACATATATTTTATATAATTTTATTCAAAACAGTTCATCTCTATTTTGAATTTGTTACCACATGCACAAAATTATTGAACACTATTTTTGTTACAGTGCATTGTTACACTGTCTTGGTACAGTGTATTGTTACTCTGTTTTTGTTGTACGGATATTAACAAATGTTGAATTCAAACAAAATGGTGTATTCTAAAATAAACAAAATATTAAAGTTCTCCCATAAAATTAGGAGATATGTAATACATAAATATAATTTGAAAATAATATCACTTTTCCTAAAAAAAAAAACGTATGAATCAAGGTGCATTAGAAAATTTCGAATTAAATGACCCTAAATTTTAGATAAATGTCTTGTTACAATTTTTAGGAAAGAAAATTTTAAAAAATAGACACTTGTGTCTTTGTATATCAGCTGTGTATTTTTTTTCAAAATATTTTATTTTGTGTATTTTTTTATAATTATGTCTAACTTAATGTATTGACTTTCAAAAGACCCTTTAATTTATCCATTTATCCACTTCAGATGGGATAACTGATTCCAAAAGCTACGGACCAATTCTTTGAAGCCCAACGATTATCTAATTCAACTTTTGTTATCCTAGTTTACCCATCAGGCCAAACACACCCATTCGGTTAATCCATATAACCCCTTAACCAAAAATCCTAAGACTTGATTTTCTATTGACCAAAGCTAACAATCATATCGTTTTTCCATAAACTGCAAATCCACTAAAATCTCATCCTAGTAAAAACAGTACAAACTTCTTTTATTTTATACGGATTCTCGTCGATATACTTGATCATAAATGATAAAAATTTAACATTTTATTCGCACAAAACTGGTTAAACGTGCTAATTATATTAATTTAGATTATTTGTATTTGACATTAATTCGATATATTCCTTTTTCCATGTTAACAGGTTATATTATCTTCGAGTTCATGTTGACAAGTAGTTAACTCTAACTCATTAATTTCGTATCAGATTCATATCGTATCAATGTGTCGTATTCAAAATTGTGACCATCAAGTAGTGTTGATCGTAAGTCAAATCTCATTCTTTAGACGGCTTGAGGCATATCAGCTTGAATACGCTGGTAAATTGTTTATTTTTGCTAGTAGCTAGGGAAGGGAAAGTAGGTACGGAATTCGGTATCATACCAAAAAATTGAAAAAAATGACGACGAATTAAGATCACATTACAAACCACATAGTTCTAACTTACAATTCAAAGACGTTTTAAAAAGTTGAGATCAATCTTAAGTTTGTGAGATCAATGCCAATTGACCTCATTGAATCGTTACTTCATAATTTTAGATGCACAAAGTAACTTAAGTGTCAGAGTGTTATCCATTCTCACTACTCTCTTTTTTTTTTCCCTCTATAATAGTTATGTTAAATAAAGAAGATTATATACTATCGACAATAGGTGTAACTTGTTTGATCATTTTTATCTGAGAAAGAGGCGAAATATAATCAACTTGAATTCGAGACCACTATTTAGAAGAAAATGTGAAAACAATTTAGTATTTGTCTCCAAGACAACCAATGTATTGGAGCAGATTTTTGAGGGTTTTTTTCAACAAAATAATCCATCAAAACACACACAAATGTTTGCGAATAGAGCTAGTATAATATAAAGGAAACCCCCTGCACTTTTTTTCCACCTTATGGTATGAATATACAAGTTCTCATTGTATGTCAATTTTTGGGAGTTTTTCTCCAAACCCAGTCTCTCCACCATATTTATTCTCACACCAAGCCTGTTTTAAACTTATTTCTCAAATTTAATTTTTTTTTAAAAATATTATTTGAAATGACGCCTTCATGGATTAAAACGTCATTTCAAATGACGTTTTAAAACTGAATTTTTTTTATTAAAAACTTCATTCAAAATGAATTTTCAAACGACAACCTAACGGATGTTAAAAAAATTGATGGGTAAAAACGTCATTTTCAATGACGTTTTATGCGCCTTATAGTCACACCCCAAATTTCTCAAATCACAAAACCTTGTCTAAACTAAACTCATCGATTTACCCATACTCTCCACTCCACACCTTCGACGATGATCAGTCTGATGCAGGCTTTTACCGTCGACGAAGACCACTTTGGCATAGGAGTCTACCTCCGATGAAGACACTCCACCGACGAAGAACCACTCCTCTGACAAAAGATTTGATGTGGGAGAAGGAGTTCACAAAGCTGTGGAATCTCTCTTTGTTTCTGTTCATGTCCTTTGACGACTACTAAACACTACTCCGACGTATGAAGTTGAATATATACAAATATCAAGAGTCAATATATGATTATTGGATAACCTTATGAGAAAAATAATAACTCGCTTAAAAGGTCTCGTTGGTACANTGAATATATACAAATATCAAGAGTCAATATATGATTATTGGATAACCTTATGAGAAAAATAATAACTCGCTTAAAAGGTCTCGTTGGTACAATGCTCTCTCTTATAGCGGATTCTTGAGAAAGACAATTGGTAGACAATCGCCTCCCAAGTCTAGAGAGGTTTTTTAAGACGGGTAAAAAACTCATGACATAACACGCACTTGCCACCTTTTCAAGTCCGATATGTAAAAATCATTATTCCACAACAAACTAATATTATTTGTATTTAATTTGGAAAATGAATTGTTGTCACCGGATTGACAATGAAACTTATTCAATACTCTCACCTATTGCTAATCGAATGACGAGAGTACATTAGGTCTCTTCATTAGTCCCAAAGTTGGTCCCCTTTTACATTACTCTTTAGTGAAAGAAAACCAACATATGGAAGAGAGAACGGAAACACTTCTCTATTTTATTCAAGGCAAAGTACATCTTACATAGCACAACCAAAACACAGCTGAAAATCATATTATGCCATAACTAGCACACATAGTTATACATCTTATCATAGCACAAGTGGTAATCTAATACATGTGTCTCCTATGATTGTGAAATCAGAAGATCGTCATGCAACAAAACCTAATGAACTTATTATGTGTGTAGAGATAATATCTCCACGACTCTTACTAAGGCATAACTAGCACATATTTCATGACAAGACTTGGGAAAATATGACTTTTGACACCAATCATATACAAAAAGTTCAAACAAAGAGAAGGGATTTCATGCCAAAGTTAAGCTCCCATAGACAAAAAGTTCCCTTGACGAAATCATTGTATCCACCCATCAACTGTAAAGTTTTGTTTGCTAGCCCGGCTCGCACATATGGATAAGTCAGTAGGTTTATCAGAGACAAGTTCACAACCTCCTGCATTTGGATTATAGACAGATATTCTTAACCTCAACTGTCCTCCTTTTAAAGCAAATATGCAACTTAGTTCGGTTACGATATTAAAAAATAATTATTTATAGTCTTATTTATCTAATATAAATATGACATGTATGAATTCTTTTATTTGATTATTTTTCATCACTTTATCATCTTTTCAATCGTTACAAATCATTCAAATTGAAATCTATAGATGTGATCAATTCTAATACAATACCGATGACGACAACATAGTTATATCCGTTTAAGAAAAGCCTTACACAAGTTATGAGTAATTGCTTTACTGATAGATCAATTTTGTGTACAATTAGATAGCCTTTTTTTTTTAAAAAAAAAGAACTTTTGTGTTTTTTAAAGTATTTTTGTTTTCTTTGTCGGGTTTGCTCATTTTTTCTAAGCTCAATCATGTATATGTTAGAACATATAACTAATTTTTATACCAAAACGGAAATAAATGATCATTTTTTTCAAATAATAATCAAAAAAGTTTTTTTTTCCTTTTTTAACTTAAATAAAAGTACAAGAAACAATCGTCATTAAAACATCGTGACCAAAGAAAAGTCAAATGTACAAACTCTAATTTTGTTGCAAAAAAAAAAGCTATTTTTCATAACTCAACTCCATGACGTGCATGTCACAGTTGGAAAAAATTTATCTTCAAAAGTCGTAACAATCATCCTCAGCAATGTGTACTGTTCTTTTCTTTCATATATTTTTGTGATGACAAGAAGAAAATACTCACCCTTTCACAGATCTCAAGCTTTTCCTCTTCTGCTAAATGGCCAAACTCAGCCTTGACCTTAGCCTTTGCAGGTAAACCAATTTTAACCCAATCATCTATGAAGTCACTGCACATCACAATTTAATAAAAGTTGAAAAGTAGCAAAAACATTAAATTAGATTATGTGAATAAATGTTTCTTTGTGTTGATTAAAGCCTCCTCACTAAGAAGTTGTTCCATCATCAGGAAGAGTCATAAGGTGATTGCAAAATGACCTTAAGTTCTGAGACAGCATATTCAATGACTTGTGTAAGATCTGATTGAATGAAGGACCCAAGTTGGCAATGTTCTGGGTCATGAATTCAGATCATTACTGGGTGGTTTAAAATTGTGGTTTTTTTTGACAAGATATAGGAAAAGATGGTATTGGCAAAAGCCTTACCTTGGGTCTCTGACCGTCGGCAAGTTCACTGTAATAATCTGGAAACTTGCTGCAAAAATGGTATAAACACATGACCAGACAATAGGGAAACCATTTAGTCATCGGAAAATATTTTTAAAAAAAGTTTTTTTTTTGCAATTTTGCCCTTTTGATGGATAGCAATTACAGTTTTATTCAAAATTTTCGTAACCAAATTGCTACAAAATATTTGTAATTTATATAACTAACAATAATCTGTCTCTGAAAATATGGTACAACATAAAATTCTCGAGTGTCCATAATTATTTTTTTCATTCCCTTTATTTAATTTCCACCCATTATTTTTTAAAAACAAAAATCGATAAATTTTTCTTAAAATACGTGACCTTAAAAAAATATTAATATGTGCACACTATTGTTAGCATACTCGAATTCATCGGTCTTGAATTGAAAGAATCCATCATTAATCTTCTTAATCGTTTGAAATGCAGCCGGCTATATTTTCCTCTCGAGCTCAGCCTCATCTATGTCTCCGTTGTCTTTTTTCTTTCTGTCACTTCAAGAAAAAATGAAATCGCCGATGTTTAGAAATGCCGGGAATTGTCAGTCGAACGCTGAGAATAATCTTTCCCGATGATTAGACTATTGCAATTTAAACATTGTCTCTGAAATTGCCCACTTTCTCACGTTGCAATTTAAACTATTGGTTTGTATTTATCACTGCCTCTGTTATTAACTTCTGCCACATTTCTATCTATTGTTGCCTTGATTTGAAGTGAAAGATTGAACAAAAATTAATGATTGGGTCAATACGAAACTCAAACCAAGTAACAGATCTAATGTGAGAAAGTCGATAATTCAGGGGCGATGTGAAACGATGTATATGGTTCATTATTTTAAATGTAACTTGTCCTTAAAATTTTATGTATTATGGTACATAAATTTATTTGAAGGGACTTAAACTTAAGACACGCGGGTTTACATCTAACCTTTTTTTTTTTTGACTGCTGGACAAACCCATACATGTATGTGTTGAATTATTCTGATTAAAAGTAAACATTTATTGAATTATTTTGCTTTTATTAAAACGTAGTATAAACCATTGGAACTAAATGATTTGCGCTGTTGTTGTGTTTTTCTATGTGAGGAGGTTAAGCAGTTCGAGAGTTTGTTTTATTATTATAGGTGTGATATTTTCAACATTTTCACTACAAAAGCACATGAATTGAAAACCAACCAATCTTCTTAACAATGGTACTTGGAAACAACTAACTTTCTACGTTGGCGTAACTATTTCAACTAACATTCTCCCTTTTTTTGGTAATTAACTTCTACAACCTAGGATCTGGTATACGACAACAAAGTTAACAAATAAATAAATAAATAAAAATAAACAAATGTGAAAAAAAAATTAAAAAAAATCAGCACCCAAAAACACAAGTTTGTGTGGAAAACTCAAAGATCATAAAAAAAAAATATTGCGGAGTAACACCAAATTTACTAAGAAACGAGCAAAATACAAGGAAAAAAATATAAAAAGGATGTTGTTCTATGTGCTTGTTATATTAAACAATTGCAAAAGCATCATTTTCCAAATGTGATTTAAATTTTCACCGAGGCGGGGTGTTACGTGGAACGCCCACATTTTGATCCATGACAGATTACTTTGGACGTACAATACTATTAATCTTCAAACAATCTAAATCTTTGAGAGCAATGCTACATGAACTTTAATTTTTAATTGTGTGTGCGTGAGAGAGAGAGAGAGATATTGTCATTGCCAATTTCTACTGTTCACACTTCGTCTAGTCTGAAACTACCATTCAAGCTCCCGTGTTACTAAATCATGTTTTGTGTTTTCGTCGTGCGAGGTGTTTTTAGTTTAATTACGGAAATAATCACACAAATTATATGTGTTAATATGTCTTTGTCATTGTTTTGTATCACTCAATAAATGGGTACATATAGCTGGTTCTTTGATTCTGAAAGATCATTAATAAAGATAGAATTATAGGATTGGGTTGCTATCACTTTCTAGTTTTGATCAAATAGAGACATGTACATTAAAATCATTGGGCTCCACAGGGGGTAATCGTAAATGATACATGATTCGATGCATTTAATTTTAGATGATTCAATTTGGTGGAAGTGTCCAAATAAAGGATTACAAACTTTTCTATCATGTTATGCAAGTACAACAAATCAAGTAATTGGATCATGATTGATATTTTTTTGGCAATTCTCCGTATCGAAATTTGAATCCACTGGATCATGATTCATGAATTTGGATTTAGATTTGAATTTAACAATATCCGATTCAATTTTAGCTCAATCTGAATTTTGTATAAATGCAAATGTATAATATACTTTAGGGATTATTTGATAAAATTACATTAAAATTTAGATATAATTTATTTAAATTATATCCTAATTAAGTTAATCTGATAACACCACATTTTTATAATGCGAAGTTTTTCGACCACATTTTTATGAATTAATGATTGGAACACCAAATTGCGGTGCATATATTCATTCGTAAACACGAAATTCGGGAAATGTATGTATATCTATGTCTCATTTCTTATTATTCGACTACTAAACTAATTTGTGCATTTCAGACAATCCCATTTGGATGTTCTACTTGAGATGAAATAATGAAATTCACCGACTAATTCGGCTAGAAAAAAATGGATGGGAGGGGATAGTTAAATCCCATCGAATCTAATATTTAGACCAACCCCAGCTGGAATTCAATTGATTTAGGGTTTCATAGTTTCTATGGTATTAAAGTCGACGGATATATCTTTACCAAATCCCAACTCTCTCTCTCTCTCTCTCTCCAACTAATTCATAGAATTTCTGTCTCTTGTCTTCAACCAATGCTTGGTTTTGTTTATGTCTGCTAACTAATATAGTAATTTGGAGAATGCCAACAAGCAAGAAGATCTAGAATTACTCCCACTTCTGTATTGCAAGTCACTAAGTAATTGCACAGTAAGACCCTTGTTTATATCTCCAATGTAAGCGAATCAAATTCTATGTAAGTGACAAATTATGGGTCACGAAGAAATCAACATATGAAAGAGAGCATGCCAGAGCTTCTCTATTTTATTCAAGGTAAAATACATCTTATCATGGCATAACCAGCACTATTTGAACAATCTTACCATAACATAACTAGTACATAGCTGAACATCTTATTATGGCGTAGAAGAAAGTTTGATACACGAGTCTTCTATTTGTGCAGAGTTTAGAAAGCGTAAATGTACGAAAGTCCAACTTACTTTGCGAGCAGAGATACAAATTCCATGATTCTTATTTGACACCAATCATGGTGTAAAACTCAAACAAAGATAAAGGGTTTGATGCCGAAATTGTGCCCCCAGAGGGAAAAAGTCCCCTTGACAAAATCGTAGTATCCACCCATAAGTAGCAAAGTTTTGTTCGCCAACCCATCTCGCACATATGGATAAGTAAGTAGGTTTTCCAGAGACAAGTTCACAGACTCCTGCAATCAGATTATTGATAGATATTCTCAGCCTCAACTTACTTCTCTTCTTTCAAAGCAAATAATGCAACTTACTTCTCTCATGACGTCACTATGTTTTAAGTCTCATATATCGAGTAAGTCAGTCGCAAGTAGCAGCCTCATTAAAACATTATCGACCATTTAATTTCATTTTTTATCTACCATTTAAAAACGTTTTTAAAGTATATAACAAANTGAGCAAATGTACGTGGTTAACGACACTATGTTATAAATCTCGTATATCGAACAAGTCTGTCACAACTCGCAAGTAGCAACCTCATTAAAACATTATCGACCATTTAATATCATTTTTTATTCTTTTTCAAAAATTTTAAATAATGGTTGTTTTGGTTTTAAGCTTTTTCCTTATTTGGGTTAGCTCGTTTCTTTATTTAAAAATATGTATGATAGTTCACATATATGTATAAAAGTACATAATTTATATAATAAGATGGATGGCGATCACTTTTACAAAATAATAATCAAACATATTTTTGATTTGCTGACAAAATTACTTTTATTTTCTTAAGTAGAAGTACTTGAAAAACATTATCAAACTTTATATAACTCTTCTATTTGTTTGTGTGTTCTTTTTTTTTTTTTTTTCAACAGTGAGTAATGTCCAAGTCAGCTTAGATGCACCTTGACTAATTTTTTTCTCGGTCCAATCAGAAACAGGTCATTCATACATGGATTAAGGTATTCATGAGTGATAACGAAAAAAGACTCACCCTTTCACAAATGGCAATCTGTTCCTCAAATGGTAAATTCCCAAACTCAGCCTTCACCTTGGCCTTGGCAGGCAAACCGATTTGAACCCAATCANAACAAAAAAAGACTCACCCTTTCACAAATGGCAATCTGTTCCTCAAATGGTAAATTCCCAAACTCAGCCTTCACCTTGGCCTTGGCAGGCAAACCGATTTGAACCCAATCATCAATGAAGTCACTGCACATCAGTATTAAAGAGAAGTACAACTTATTAGTAGGCTAATGTGAAAATACAAAAAGTAAAAAATGTTAAAGTACACTAATGGTCCCTCAAGTTTGTGACTTGTGTGTCCGTTTTCTTCCTAACATCATTCTAATTTTGTAAATATCATCATCAGAGTTTTACATGCTACACCAATGTCCTCCTTTGCCCCAACAGTCATTAAAATTAAAGACGCAAAAACGCATGTGCACGTGTGACAGATAGAAATTCGGTCCACATATGTGTCGCATTCGTGCTANAAATTAAAGACGCAAAAACGCATGTGCACGTGTGACAGATAGAAATTCGGTCCACATATGTGTCGCATTCGTGCTATATATAGATATACGTATGCGTTTCCTGTCTGTAATTTAAATAATTGTTAGGATGGAAGATCAAATTGGTCCGATTTGTGAACGAGAAGCAAATTGAGAAAAATTAAATTTTAAGAATAAGAACCAAGGTGACACTCATAGAAAAAAAAATCTCTTGGGGACCATGGGATAAATGTTCATTAATATTTATCAGAAATGTTATAAATTTCTAAGCCAAGCCACAGTGTATGGATTAAAACTCACATGTACCAGGTTGCACAACAATAACTTAAAATAAAATAATAAAATGTGTGTGAATTAGCCTTACAAAGAAGTTGATCCATCTTCAGGATGAGACATTAGCCTGTTTATTCCCCCACATCGACTGTGTCCAATCACCAAAATAATTTCAACCTATGGAATTATCCCATTGGTTAAGGCCCTTGTATGAAATAGAATGGAGAAGAAATTTTTTATATGTTAGAACTTGGAGGAGTTCAAAATGACCTTGAGTTCTGCAACTGCATATTCAATGACAGCTCCAACTCCAGAATACCTAACCTGAGTTCAACTAATCAGGATTAGTGTCAATCAAGTCGTGTTGTACCATATTTTATAGAAAGTAATGATTCCAGCCAAATCAAGGAACAAAATCAGGCCTTAAACAAAGGGATAGCATATCAATCACAAAGATTAGATCATGACACAAATAAAGAGCAGATCAAACAGCAAGTCATGTGACAATAGATTAGTCATTATCTCCCTGAATTTCTCTGGATTTTATATTCTTTCCATTCTTCTCTTTAGAAGCAGTTTGTTTGAATTTCAAATGGTTTTCTTCCTTATATTATGTCCATTGTATTCCTTGTACAAAGAGAAGAGATTTCATTCTCTAGTTGTAAGAAAAATCATAATATTCAGAGATTCCATATAGTTAAGTAGCATTTTTTGTGGGTCGAATTATCTCTAAGTCATATGAGTGGCGGAACAACATGAGGACCAGAGGGGGCATGGCCTCACCCTGAATTTTTTTTTAAAAAAAAATATTATTTATGTATATTTAAAATTATTAGAAGTATACTTAAAGGTGTTCACTCTATTATTTTTTATTCTATCAATTAATATAGTCATATAACTAAATAATTATTAATTTTTTGACATACTTTGAACACTTTATGGATACATTTAGATATATTTTTGATTTATCAAACTCACTTTTAAAAGTTATAGATATTATGAAAATTAGGTTAAATAAAATAATGAGTGATCTTTGGGTAATAGTCTAATTGGTTATATAGAGAAAGACTGTAGCATCTTTTATACAGTTAGTCTCATTTATTGTGTAGGGTTGTAATTAGCTTCTTTTTTTTTTATTTGTTTACACTATATTTATTAATGTTTGATAATTTTTATATTTTTTGAATTTTTAAGTATCAAATACAATTCCATAAATTTAAATATATTATTTTATTTCCAAGTAAACCCATCCTAGACATAATTTCTAGCTCCGCCTCTAGTTATATCCTTTTGAGCTTGTGTGTCATGTGTATTATCTTATTGTAATTAATATGTAATCTTGAAATTAAACTACGAGGACCCTATTTTCTCCCAACAAATATCCGCAATATTTAGGTTATTATAAGTTAAAAAATCCAAGTGATCACTAGCCTAGCAAAACCAAATATAAAAAATCATTTAATTTTATAATGGTGGGAGGCTAAAATATTAATTTGTTCCTAAGATAAAATAATTTCACACAATTTGAAGACCTGGTCGAATTGAGGAACCAAGTTAGCAATGTTCCGGGCCATGAAAGCTTCTCCTGGTCGAAAGCTTAGAATATTAGATGGACACACTCGTGAATCTGAGCATGCAAACACCAGAAACTGCAAAAGAGAAATTGGCCACAAAATTCACAAGTTAATTAAAGTAAATTTTTTTGACCCTATAATATATTAAAATCCCATTAACTGGGGTTTACAGATTTTGTTTTGTTAGAACGTCGAGAAAGTTCAAACTTGTGACCTTAAGGTTCAACAGCGGAATTGGTGATCATTAGACCAACCACTAACCTCTGGACACAACTCAAAACTGAAAAAAGAAATAATAGTTGCGACACAAAAGCCATACCTTTGGGTTCTGTCCCTCGGCTAGTTTCCTGTAATAGTCTGGAAACTTGCTGCAAAAGATGTCCAAAGCACCAGAGAATTGGGAAAACCATTTAGCAACAAATTAAAAAGCCATTTAAAAAAAAAATAAGAAACATATCTTAATTAACAGAGTTAGGATGCAACTCAATCCCCTTACTCTATCAAGGTTGAGAGGTCAATTGGACTATACTCAAGCCCAAGTACTTTCTCAATTTAAATCGGGTTAAAACGTTTATCTGTTGAAAATCATCGCCCCTAAACTCAACCAAATATTTTAGTTGAACTACAGTTGATGTACTCAAGCTGCACCCCCACCGAGAGTGCAATTTTTTCATTTTTTGTATCATCTCCATGTTCTGTCAATTTTTAGAAATAATCCAATGTGATTGGGAACCAATCTGAAAACGTAATATTAGGACAAGTCATAAAGTTTGAATAATGGTGTAGGATGATGTGTTTGAAGTAATAATATTATTATGTCATGTCAACTGTAACCTTATTAGGTTAGAATTTTAAATATAAAATGTAAATCTCCATAGTATTACCATAATCGGATATTATTCCAAAAATAGTTTATTTTATTTTATTTTGGGTTTTTAAGACACAGCAAGTTGATTAAATAAACACAGCATACTCGAATTCATTGGCCTTGAACTGATTGAATCCTTCCTTAATCTTCTTAATCGCTTCACATGCTGCTGGCGAATCGTTTCTTATCTTCTCAAGCTCGGCCTCATCTATGTCATCCTGGTCTTTTTCCTCTCTGCAAAAACCATGGCAATTTCATCATCTGTCAGGAAACAAATATTAATTACATGATCATTGTCATTGACTTTGACATCAATATTGGTTTGGACCGGTTCCCAAATCAACAGTTATATGATGAATTTAAGTCGGTAAATTAAATTAAAAAATTAGGTCCAATGAATTTGGTTAGCGCGAGAATGGTGGAAAAAGAAAAAAAAATTAATTTTTAATGCAAAAGAGCAAAAATATGAAAGTAATGGGGAGAAAATTTTATTTTCAATACCTAGTTTTGTAGTGGGACGGATAAGGCCATTTTTAAAATTTTACAAATAAAGGGCAATTTAGACACTTACAAATATTTTCTTATAACTTTCTTCCCTTCTAAACTAGAAAATAAANAAAAAAAAATCAATGTGTGGGTCCCAAAAGTTGTGATACGTTCTTATGGCGTCATCACGGGGTGTCCTATAAACACCAAATATTTTCTCGAGATATATTACAAAGGATAACACTGTTATACTGTCACACTATTTTTTGATATAGTATCAAAAAATAAGTTAGTTTGTATATATGACACGTAATTTTTGAAAATCAGTG